ATAGCCACGACTAGGATATAAGGTCATCTGCAGATTGAGGTCGTGTGCAGCCACACACCAACTCATGTTGCCGAAACGCAGATGGCGCTCGTCTTGGACTGCTTTGAAACCTATTTGCACTCACTGGAGATTTTTCATAACATTTGCATCGGCATCCTTATTTACGCTAGTAATGGATGCATATGAGGTTACAGATAAATATGTTTTGAAAACGCCATATAAGCTCTCCATAACAGAGGAATCTTGATACACGTTTCCGAACAAGAGAGAAGCGCTAACCGGGATTTTTTATCTCGGTAAAGGGCTCTCGCGGTGACTCCTTTGCTCCCACAAAAGGGGCGACTTCACTTCTCAAGAATGGAACATTCTACCACAGACACTCCAGATGTACCCAAAGAAGATTCATTTCTCGGTTTTGAACTGAAGTCATTCGAGGAAAGGGAACTGTCTCAGTAAAAATTCCCCTGCCACTGAGAAAATACTTCTGGAATAGAATTTAGACTTTTCCTTGATATTTTAGATAAGACGATAATGTGTTTAGTCACAAACGGAATCAAACCTAAAGACTTTTTAAGTTAAACTTGGTAACGGATGTCACGTTTTTGCCTCTCCGTCCATGGACCTTCCGCCGCTCCTTGCCTCCACTGCAACATGCCAAATACAATGTATAATCTAGTCTGACCTGCAGCCTGTATTGTAATAAATTTTAAACTTATATCTGCCTTTTATTACCCCTTTTCTTACATACTTCCATTTTTTTTATCGCCAATGCTTAACGACGTCGAATATATACAAAATGTCACCAAAAATAAAATATCTCAAGAAAATCATCCATTTATCACGATTTGAAGAAAAAAACATAAATACTTTTTGATACTCATGTTGAAGAACACATACAACCTCTAAATGTATTCGTGTATCCAGTCGTTAAAACGCAAAATTTGTACATTTTTCTTATAATAGGAGAATCATATACTCTTTTTTATCGCATATATATTTCATGTTGAAGGTACTGATGCTACCACAGCACTGATTGTTTTAAGAAATACAAAACATGTTCGTATTTGACCTAACATACTTATGAACATCTGTCACCTAAAACTGAGATCATAGATAACAAATATGATTATACACATCTTAACGTAACGAAAAAAACAACATAAAATTCAATAGTAAAATCTCATTCACAGATGCAATGAGTAACATTGCAGATCTAATACTCTTAAAATCCTCTCTTCCCTCACAACCTTTAATGGTTCTTTTTCGTCCTTTTTACGCTATGAAGTACGACCTCTCTTACACTACGGACTACCTGCAGGAATGTAATTTTATCATAACATTCGAGGGAGAGCCAATCATAAAAGTGATGAAAACCAATGATATAAAGACAACAGAGGCATTAATTTTTTTCCGTCTTTGGAAACACAGTACATAGGTGACGCATGAAATGAAAGTAATGCATTAGGAACATGCTTTCCCAGGTGAATCTGTAATGTTACATGATGTTTAGGAAGAATGGGTTTGAACAAGATTCATGTGGTGACGGATGACTAGACCTGAAGGGTTTGATGACTCTAATTAGAGAATTTAGTCAGATTTAATGTGTTAATTCTTTGGTCTAATTTGTGCGACTTCTATATAGGAGGTACATTAAATTACTCATACCTCTCGTATATCCTATTAAATTCTAGATTTTCTGTCTTTTGGCCCTCTGTCATTTTGAAAATAGGAACAATATAACCAATAAAAGGAATAAAAGCGAAGAAAAATACACAGAATCGCAAGACATCAGTCCTATCTTGATTCAATTTTCTATGGCTAAGGAAATCCACGCGGGGGATTCTTGACCCGCGCTTTTCTGCAGCGGCCGACGGGGCTCTAGGTCCAAAATCCTCCCACTGCGACGGCCATGTTATCCGTGTGTTCTCCGGGGATGTATTCGAATTTCCATAATAGGTTTGTTACCACAACTGCAAAGACAAAAGAGAGTAATTATTATCGCATGTCTTCAGTCGAGCATTACAAACACCCTCCAAATGTAAAATGATTAATTGTATTATACCAAACGGTTCACTTTCATGTGTAGGACAACACATGAAAGTAACAATAGTCTGACTTTTCTGTCTTACTGAATCAGAATATGAGTAGAAAGATGATTTATTACCCTCAATTATATACAGTAAGTACTAAAATCTTTATTAAGTACTAGAACCTTCCTTCCTACATATTTACCAGCAAGTACATTCAGTAAGAACCAAAACTTGAACGTATAAACTGATGTAAGGCTGAGGAGCCACCGCATCCAATTCAAGAAGCCGTTCCCCTTACTAACAGAAAAGCACTTACCCATATGCCCCTCGGTCAGCGTGTCCAACAGCTCGGGGCAGAAGTGGTCGCATGGTTCTCGGGGCACGAGACGAATCTTGCTCCAGCCTCGCACCTGCGCCACCCACAAGAGCTCCGTGTGGAAGTCCACCTGAGGAAAGAGAGACGGCCAAAT